TTTTCTTTTCTTCTTTTCCTTTTTTTCTTTTTTTTCTTCTCCTTCCTCCTATTTATATCTCACCTACCTCTTATCCTGACCGTCCATCCTATCTCACCCTCTACACTCATCATAATTGTCCACTCCCTCTCCTCCAAACGACACCGTTCACTCCTCTCCCTCTCCCCAAATATATATATTTATATATTATTATTATTATTATTATTACCACACACACATATATATATATATATAAATACATTTTTTCATCCAAATATCAACTACTACAACTAACATCCCTTTAAAAAGTTTATCTACTGACAAATTGAAATACACATTGTTGTTATGAAATTAAAATAAATTTTTGTCTTCTACATAAATTATTTAAATTATAACTATATTGCATATACTTAATAATTAAAATTATAAAAATTAAAATAAAATAGAAAAATATCTAGAAGATGGGTATTTCATAATAGACTACAAAAATGATATTTAATATAGAAAAAAATAATAATTTAGTAGTCTTTACTCAGAAAAAATAATCCATTATCACTTCTAAATTTACTTCTACCCAAGAAAAAAAAAAGTATCTAATCTAAAAACATTATAACATTTTCCATTATTAATTATCAAATGTTAAAAAAAAAATAAATTGAAACCAACCAAAATCAACTAATTAATCAGAACTGATTTACTTGATCAGTTCGGTTTTTTTGATTAATTAAGTTTAAGGGGAATAATACCCACTCCCAAATTGTTCAAGACTGGATCTAGCTAATACAGCCCCCTAGGGTTTTCCTTTAGTCCATAACTGCACATTCTATTGTTGGACAGGTCTCATTTCACATTCATTCCAGAATCACTGAAGTTCAAAGGGGCAGAAGGTCCAATATTCCAATCAGCAAAACAGAGAAGAAGAGTAAGGATGCCTGTAATGCTAATGCAATGTTTTTAGATAATCCAACTTCAACCCATTCCTGAATCTTTTGTCTTCTTCCCTGAAAATACTTATTACACGTGAGGTACCCGGAGAGAACACCGCAACCACCCTTGGAAACGCATCGGTTCACATTATATCAACAAGATTGAACAGATATAGATAGTACTTGAGATTATTTGAGTATGCACAAATTTAATAAGTCACAAACCGGAGCTTCAAAATAACCTAAGTAAGGCCCAGGAGGGGGGAAAGTATGAAAACCAAAATGAAAAAAGAAAACAGAAGAGAAGCACCCAGAGGGAAATAATTCCCTAGTCAAAGCAAACAGTCAATCTGAGTAAAGTTCTGATGGAAATCAAGTTGAGAAATACT